AAGCTGTGCTGGAAACAGGTACTGGGAATGCCCTGGGAGGGGAAGGCACCCTGTAGCCCAACAACCCGTGCTCTGGCAAAGGGCAGGCTGGGGCAGCCCCTGATTTCACAACTGGGCAGGGCAAGGAGCAGCAAAAGCCCAGGCATCACCCTTATGTGCTCTGTGCAGCCCTTGAGTGCCCTGCCCCAGTCCCTGGAGCCCCTGCTTTCCATTCAGTGCATGGTGGGCATCTCATTGTGCCCTTTCCTGCTCAGACTTCCCTTCTCATGTCTTGATGTGCTGCATTAACTGGATGTTAACTTACTGGATGTCTGTTAATTATTATCCAGTTTCCCTAATGATTCTGTGGCTGCATTTAGCTCTTTGTAAAGTCATTTATTAAATAACTGGGAGAGCATTTAGCCAATCCAAATAGACTTTCTGGGCCGTGCACCAATGGCCCAGAAAATTTAGCACTTTTAATGAGAAATACAAGCATTGAATTAATTTTTAAGCAATCCTTTGGTGTTCAGCTGCTGCTTGGGCTGGAGAGGACAGTGTTGTGCTCCCAGCTGGTGCCAGGATCCAGCCGAGGGAGTGTTGGGGCTGCACCCCCAAGAGAAGAGAAAACACCAAGGAGCAAGGCTTGGATTCAGCTGCAGAGAAGCTGGGGTTGGGGAGAAGAAATCCATTTGAAAGACTTCTGCTAGTGATTTATCCATAGCAAATCCATAGCGAAAAGTCTAAAATCTGCTTTTATTGCAGACTCTCACGGAATAACACCAACCATGGCGTTTCTGTGCACAGGACTGCCCGCAGCCCATGTTGCACCCTGCCATGCGTGCAGCACCCATTGCTCCAGCATCCCGCAGAGCCATCCCTATCCCACTCTTGTACTTTCCTCTATGAAAATCATTTCGTGAGCCTTCTCTGCAGACAGCAGGGTGTGAGCTGTGCGGTTCTGAGGATGCTGATGCTGCAGTTTCCCAGCCAGGCCAGGGCACTCCAGTTTGTATTTCCCGGGGATGGCAAGGAGGGATCGCAGCAGTCCCTGGTCCCCTAGCTCGGGGCTTGCCCATGGCCGAGCCCCAGCCTCAGCAGGGTGCACCCCTCAGAAGAGGGGCGATGCAGTGCCTTCGGCCTCACGCCGAGCTCCGTCAGGCCATGCCCGGCTCGCGGCTGAGGATGCTCCTCTGGCTCGTGCCCGGGAAGAGGGATGTCCCCGGCCAGCGCACCCTCCTCAGCGCTGGTGTCTGGTGCCATCTAGTGCAAAGCCATTGATGAGGCTCTGCAGGACCGCGTAGACACGGCCCTGCTCCCAGGTGCCATCCCAAAGCCCGTCCTGGCGGTGCTTTCCCGAAAAATCCCACCTCGGCTGATGCTCAGCTCCTGCTGCTTGCCCCCGTGCTTCCTCCTCATGCCTCCCCATCCATGATTTTCCATCATCCGTGCTGCCAGCCCTCACCAAACCTCTCCATCTCACTGTGAGCCCAGCTCCGCTTTGTCTACAACCTCCCTTGATATTTGCCAAAATTACATTGAACCAGCTGAGGCTTAATCATGCCCTCTGGCCATGTCATTATCTGCCTTAATCAAGCCTATTATTAAAGCCCGAATTCAGCTAATTGCTTCCTGTTTTCTCCCTTTTTTTTTTTTTTTTTTTTTTAATTTTCCCTGCGGTTACTATGTGGGTCTTTTTTAGGGAGCTGTGCACAAAGCAGGAAAGCCCCAGTGCCCAGTTTTGGAGTTGCAGCACACTGGTGTGGCTTGTTGGTCTGTAGCAATAGGATCTGGTTTGGACCTTCAGCACCATCCTACCTACCGCCCCCTCCCCCGGGCTGTTTGCTGGGCTACGGGGTAGGTGAGAGGGGTATGGGGCCTGGGAGAGGTGCATGGATGGGATATAGGTCTGCTGGGTGGGATGTGGGACTGATGGGTAGGATATAGGGCTGACAGGAGGGTCGTGGAGCTGCCAGCTGGGATACATGCAGAGCTAATCAGCAGCACCTCGTTTGCCAGCCCAGCAAACACATATAACGAGGCTATAAACGCCCCAGTCCATGTCAACTGGGACAAGGGCCCTGCTCACAAGCCATCAAACCCCCACACTGACCTAGGGACCCACTGCTTTTGATTGCATGTGGAAAAAGCTATTCCTCCCCCCCTAAAGCAAACACCTGAGCACTTCGCAACTCCTCTTCTCTCGAGCAGTCTGAGTGAGCCCCACACCCCAGCCTAGGAGCTGCTTTCAGCCTCCTGCTACTCATCTCCAAATTGCAGCCTCCAGTGCACAAAACCTCACCATATCCCAGGTCACACCTCCTAGGACATGAGTCCATGGAGCAAACCATGCCTGGAAGCAGGATCAGCAGGATGTGTCCCTCAGCCAGCCCTGAAAGTGGCTTATAAACCCACCAGGAATAGTCATGACAGTGGAAACACCCAGACTCTGCAAAGTAAATTAGCCAAACTGGATGATGGAGCCACTAACAGCATACTGGGGGAAAGGTGCTGTGCTGAAGTGGTGTGAGCCCAGGGCTTTAACCCTCCTCCTTCTCCTCGCCCCAGTCCAGGGCTACCCAGCACCCTGCACAGCCCCATGGGCCACCCCAAGCACACGAATCCCTCCTGCACGAATTGCTTAGTTCAGAAAAAACAGCTCCTCTCAGTCCTGCTGCGCTCTCAGCTCCTGGGTACGGGACCAGCAACCAAGGTGGGTGCATGAAGGATCCCTCCAAAAGCCTGTCATTCTCCTACCCAGCACCCTCTCTCTACATGCAGGAGACAGGACTAAGTGGAGATTCCTTTCCCCGGGTGCGGGGCATGGGGACTACACCAAGGTGGACTTCTGTGATTAAAAAGCCACCGCTGCCCCATGCACCTGTGGGAGATGGGTTCCTGGCTGCCTCGGCATCCCTCCCCATGCAGCCAGCCAGGGAGCCTGGTGGTTCTCCTGCCCCGAGCAGACACATCCTGGCATCAGGGCCACATCCCCCACGGGTGTAAGTGACCCTGCACCGCTGACTTGGCACATTAACACCTCCCTAAAGCAGGTACTGAGCTCCCCGTGCTCTCAAGAGCACAGGCTCCAAAGCAAACACTGGCGACGGGGACACAGCAGCCACGCCATGCTGGCTCTCTCCAGCTGATGCCAGGTTTGCAGCACCCTGTGGTGCCCACAGAGCACGGATTTTCCCAAAGGATTTTTCAGAGCCTTTGCAAAAGCGAGAGACCCCTGTTCTGACGCAGAGATGCCTCCTGGTCCTGCAGGCCGGCTGAAAGGAGAGGCACGTGTCAAACAAATCTTCAGAGTGTTTATTGTCAGGATAGAAATTTCTTTATATAAAAGAAGTGTTTAAAAAATAGCACTACTCTGCTCTCAAAATGAAAAATATATATACACACACATTGATATTCATAGAAAGAATTATTACCGCTTTGCTATGTGATTAAAAAAAAAAAAAAAACACAACAAGATAATGACCAATTCCCAAACAATTCTGCCAAAACATGGGCAAGGGGATCTGCTGACTCCTGCCACCTGCTTTCGCATGGATGCACACCCGGGCACCCTGCCGGGAGCCAGCCGGGTGGCACGTGTCCCTATGCACTGCCCACGGTGCCCGGCTCTCCCTGCCCCACTGCTTGGCAGCAGACACTGAGATGGCAGAAGCTCTCAGGGTGCGATCCCTGGAGGATTTTTTTTCTCTTGCAAAGCAGCTTGGTGGGCACTGGGGCCGGGGCGTGCTGCACAGGGGCTAGTTCATCCCGGCCCCTTTGGGAAAGGGCTGGGTGTCACATCTCCTTGTTCAAAGCCCAGCCTGCCCACGCAGACATCCCACCTCATCCCAGACCTGCCAGTTTGGAGGAATGACGCAACAGCGAAGGCTGAACCCCTTGGCTTCGCAGCAGGGGTTTTTGCTCAAGTTCTTTTTGGGTTTTTTTTAGTATTTTTCTTTTTTTTAAATACACTCCGCATCCCCCTTGGGATTTTGCGATACAAGAACAAACACCGATGCTTTACAATAACCTAGCAATAACAATGCCACATAGCTACTGTACGTCCCCATGCCCCATCCGAGCACTGCAGCCCTCTGCAAGGATCACTTCTTGTTGGCAATCTGCTTTTCCAAGTCTTCAAGTCTGGCCGTCATCTGAGCAAGTGAACGTGCTAAGGAAACTGTGAGCCAAACGGTCTGGTGGGCAAAGGGCTTCTTCCCCTTGAAGGAGCCTAAAATTTCCCCGCTCCCATTTACCCATCCCTCACTTCCCTGTGTGCAGTCTGTCCCCAGGCTGCCCCGCACCCCAGCAAGCCCAGGCACCACCCCCAAAGGATATTTTTCTCAGTCAGGCTCTGCAGGATGGCCACGGTGTTCGTCTGGAACTGCACCAGTGCCTCGCACTCACAGGGGCTGCGGATCTCTGTCTCCCCTTTGCCCTCCTCTGTGACCGTGGGGGTTTGGGTGCAGTCAGAGCCACGGCCCCACGGTGCCCGGCTCCCTCCTGCTCCCACGCAACACAAGTCCCTTATCCCCACAGCCACCCGCTGGAGCCGGACTGGAGCCTTGAGGCTCTCATATTTCCTCCTCTTTTCCAGCCTCGCTCCCTTTCACCAGGCTGCATCCCTGCGAGCCCAGCGAGCTTGTCACCAAGCATCCCATCAGGCATTCCACCAGGCATCCCATGGAACTGCTGTGCACCCAGTCACAGTAGGCTGAGGACAGCCAGTGCTGAGCTCCACTCTGCCTTCAAGCCAGGGTAGCATGGGGGAGGGACGCTGACCCAATGTCTGCAGCTGCACAAGAGACCCTGGGTGTCCCAAGAACACTGGGGAGCCCCAACCCACCCCAGTGCATGGAGAAACCCAGAGTGACCCAGCGCGGTCCTCCTCCACCCAGCACCAACTGAAGTGCAGGTCCGGATGAGGAGATGGGCCAAACTGGGAGCTGGAGCAGCATCCTTCAAGGCGGGGTGAGACCCCAGGCTCTGCCTGTGACATGGCTTCAGAGTGGATGCTCATACATCATCCCTTTTATGTTAACCCTCCCAGCTCCACCTCCTCCTCCTCCAAATGCTTCTCTGAGACCCACCTCTATACCCACAACAGCCTGATGAGATCCAGAGACACCCTAAGCTCACAGTAGCCCAGCTCGGCCCTGGGACACGAGACGCAGGGTGACACACATACACAAACCACCCCTGTGGGGAGAGACAGGCTCCCTCCAGCTGGAAGCTGAGCCCCCAGCACAGCCAGGGCTGGGGCACCCACCTGGGCAGATGTTCAGCTTGAAGTTCTCCACGAGGTGGGTCATGGTGGTGAAGTCAGCCGAGTAGGAGAAGTGCTGCTCCACCGGCTCGGAAGCAATTGCTCTCAGCTCCTCTTCCACGGCCTTGCCAACGCCCACGGCGAACATGACGATCCCTGTGCAGCAAGGATGGATCCTGAGCACTGCATCAGCCATCTCGCACCAAGCAGCCCCAAACCCAGCGGGAGCAAAGCTGAGGATGCAAGATATCCCCTGGGCAGCCAAGGATGCGGGATTTCCCCTGGGCTTCCTAAAAGCAGGGCAGGAATTTGGGAAGGACGGGCAGGAGCATGGCACCACCAGTGCGGCGCATGCTGCTGCATGGAGGATGCTGCTCAGAGCACCCTCCAACCACAGCACATCTGTCCCACAGACCCAGGCAATGCAGCACCCCAAAGCTGGATGTTGTAGCCTCCCCCAGAGCCAGCCACCCCGAGGACCTGTCCTGGGATGCCCAGAGCACTGAAATTTGGGGTTTCCCAGTCCTCTGCACCTGATTCCTTTGCTCTCCTGGCCCATTCAGAGATGTCGTCCTGGGAGCGCCCATCCGTGAAGACGAGCCCAATTCTGGGCACATTGTGGGAGAGAGGCCTGGCACCTTCCAGCTCGGAGAAGCTGTGCTCCACCATGTGCTTGAGGGCAAGGCCTGTCATGGTGCCTTTCTCCATGTACTCCACCTCCATCACCGCCTTCTTGATCTCATCTGCGCTGTGGTACTTGTTGAGGGGGAACTCGGTGCGGACGCGGCTGGAGTACTGCACCAGCCCCACCCGCGTGCCGTGGGGGGACACCTCCAGCAGGTCCACGATGCGGTTCACAAACTGCTTCACCAGCTCGAAGTTTTGTGGCCGAACGCTCTTGGAGCCATCGATCACCATCACCAGATCGACGTGCCCAGCCCCACACTCTGTGGGGGCACAGGGGGAAGATGAGAATGGACCAACCTGGCCGTGGGCACCATCGGAGTGAAGATGCCCAGGGCTGGGGCAGAGCTGCTGGGCTTCAGGACACCACATGGACCCCCTGGATCTGCAGCCGGGGTGAGGCCAGGAAGCAAAGCACAGCGTGCCCAGGGGTCTCAGCCCAAAAACCTCCACTGCCACCCCAATATCCCCTGAAAGTCATTCCTAGGTCTCCATTCTCCTGAACCTTTCCTCACAGCTCCTGTTGCAGCTTCTGGGCCATGTCTCTAAGGACACAAGCCCGCATCCATCCCTGCAGCAGCTGGGGTGCTCCTCCAAGCCCAGCCACCTCTCCATCCTCTTCCAGCCCAATTAGACCCCCAGCCTACTTTCATGTAAGCCCCCACCAGGATCACAGAGCCCAGACGAGGAGGATGCCAAGAGCCACGTCGCAGTACTCACTGCTGCACGCCTTGCCATCAGCCTGGAGCTGCTGGCCCTCGGGGCACACACAGCGGTAGGAGCCCTCCATGCTCACACACTTGAACTCGCAGCCGTGATCCACTCCGTTGCAGAGGTCGGTGGCTGGAAGACAAGCCAAGGGACACTGTTATCCCCACCCAGGTGGGGTGGTCCTGGAACAGCCCTTCCCCTGAGGACCGGGCAGGATAAGGCATCTGCCGTACACCGCAGCCTGTGCCACGCCACCACGCCAGGACATACCCCTGCAGGACCTGCTGTCGGGCTGCAGCGTGAACCCACTGTGGCAGCGGCAGTAGTGCCCGTTGGGGATGCTCACGCACTCGTGCTGGCAGCTGTGGTTTCCAAAGCTGCAGTAATCGATCACTGGTGAGAGAAGAAGTGTGGGCAGAAAAGGAAAGACAAGAGAAAGAGAGAGAAGCAAATGACTCATAGAATCACAGAACGGTTCAGGTTGGAAGGGACCTTGAAGATCATCTAGTTCCAAACTCCCCGCCATGGGCAGGGACACCTTCCACATCAGGTTGCTCAAAGCCTCATCCAACCTGGCCTTGAACAACTCCAGAGATGGGGTTCCAGTGTTTCACCACTCTCATAGCGAAAAATTTCTTCCTTATATCTAATCGAAATCTCCCCTCTTTCAGTTTAAAGCCATTGCACCTTGTCCTATCACCACACACCCTTGTAAAAAGCCCCTCTCCAGCTTTCTTGTAGCCCCTTTGGGTACTGGATGGCTGCTATAAGAGCTCCCTGGAGCCTTCTCTTCTCCAGGCTGAACAATCCCAACTCTCTCAGCCTGTCTTCATAGCAGAGGTGCTCCAGCCCTTGGGTCATCTTTGTGACCCTCCTCTGAACCCGTTCCAACAGCTCCATGTCCTTCTTGTGTTGGAGAGCCCAGAACTGAACACAGTACGGCAAAGGGGGTCTCATGAGAACAGAGTAGAGGGGCAGAATCACCTCCCTAGACCTGCTGGCCACACCTTAAGGGACAGGAGAAGGAG